CTTGGCTCAAAGCAAAGAATACCAGAAAGATGTTTACTTATGTTTTATTGACTATGCAAAGGCATTTGATTGTGTGGATCATAACAAATTATGGGTAACATTGAGAAGAATGGGAATTCCAGAACACTTAATTGTATTCATGAGAAGCCTGTATATAGACCAGGAGGCTGTCGTTTGAACAGAACAAGGGGACACTGAATGGTTTAAAGTCAAGAAGGGAGTACATCAGGGTTGTATCCTTTCACCATACTTGTTTAATGTATATGCTGAGCAAATAATACAAGAAGCTGGATGGGCTATATGAAGAAACGTGGCGTCAGGATTGGAGGAGGAATCATTAACAACCTGTGATATGCTGATGACACAACTTTGCATGCTGAAAGTGAGGATAACTTGAAGCACTTACTGATGAAAATTAAAGAATACAGTCTGCAGTATGGGTTACATCTCAATATAAAGAAAACAAAAAATCCTCACAACTGGACCTATAAGCAGCATCACAATAAATGGAGAAAAGATTGAAGTTGCCAAAGAATTCACATTGCTCGGTTCTACAGTTGACACCAATGGAGGCAGCAGTCAGGACATCAGACGACTTATGGCACTGGGCAAGTCGGCTACAAAGAACCTCTTTCAAGTGCTGAAGAGCAAAGATATCTCCTTAAGGACTAAAGTACACCTGACACAAGCCATGGTATTTTGTTGTTGTTGTTAGGTACAGTGTTCTTTATTGATGGTACACTACAAGGTTCGACTCTCTAAGCCCCTCCCCTTCTTCAGGGGGTCTGGATGGAAACTATAGAGGATGGGAGATTCTCAGTGTGTTGGGGATGGAGTTGGGGCAAGGACTCCCCAGCAGCCAAGGGTTTCTCTCTTCCTCTAGTGCTAGTGCTAGGGCTGGTGGTCCTGGAGGCTCTTATTCCTTGGAGGCCATGTGGACCATAAGATCCACCACCCTGTTGCTGTAGCCAAATTCATTATCATACCAGGAAATGAGCTTAACAAAGTGGTCATTCAGGGCAGTGCCAACTCCAGCATCAAAGGTGGAAGAGTGGGTGTCACTGTTAAAGTCACAAGAGACAACCTGATCTTCAGTGTAGCCCAGGATTGCCTTTAGGGGACCCTCTGATGCCTGTTTCACCACCTTCTTGATGTCATATTTGGTGGCTTTCTCCAAATGGCAGGTCAGGTCCACAACTGACACATTGGGGGTGGGGACATGGAAGGCCATGCCATTGAGCTTCCCATTCAGCTCAGGGATGACCTTGCCCACAGCCTTGGCAGTGCCAGTAGATGCAGGGATGATGTTCTGGGCAGCCCCATGGCCATCA